CCCCAAAGCCTGCATCTCAGCTCCCATGTGGAAACCACACAAGGAACAAAAGCCTAGACTCTCCAGGAGAGGCCAGAAGCAGAGAGCGCAGAGGCACCGCCCGCTGGACACCCCCACCGCCAATCGCGGGCAAAGAAATCGGCCTAGAGCCACCTGAGCCATGAGAGCCTTCTACACTGGGCCGGGGAATCCCTGAAGCAGACCACAAAGAGACTGGATAGATGGTTAGCAAATAGTACTCCCAAACAACTCCCAAATATAGGCCACAAGGGGAAAAGAACTTTAAAAAAGAGAAGTTTAATAAGTTATACGAAAGTGCTTGAAATGGTACATAGGGCAACATTTTACAAAGCTAATAACTCACACCCTTAGGTAGGCAAAGACTGCACCCATCTCTGGCAATCATGGAGCCAGTCACTGCTTTGTTTTGTTTTGTTTTTTCGAGACAGGGTTTCTCTGTATTGTCTTGGAGGCTGTCCTGGAATCGGCTCTGTAGACCAGGCTGGCCTCGAACTCACAGAGATCCGCCTGCCTCTGCCTCCCGAGTGCTGGGATTAAAGGCGTGCGCCACCAACGCCGGGCTTGGGAGGGAGAATTATTTTGTTAATGAAGTTACCTGTGTTCATTTGTAATCTGGGATTGTTAATTTTTATCCACTTTTTATTTCGTTTTGGTCTTTTGAAACAGAGTCTTGCTGTGTAGCCCTGGATAAGCCCAGATTCGTGGTGATCCTCCCACTCTGCCTCCTGTGAGCCAGAAGGACAGGTATTTCCCACTGTTTAAAACTAATCAGTTACCAACATCTTAAAATAAAATATCTTGTACTAACACCCAGTTTCCTAGCTTTGCTTAAAAATTCCACGGAACCTGTAATCTCCGTGGACTGATATTTACCAAAGAACTTAGGGCATCAGCAGTTTAACCCATATGTTCTGTGCATCGTTGAGGTGGGTGGTAGGTAAAAACATCTTTAAATGACAACAAGCCTTTAAACCCAGCACGCAGGATGCTTTATGTAGTTCAAGGCCATGCTGGTCTACATAAAAAGTTCCAGACAAGCGAGGGCTACGTAAGAAGCACTATATCTCAAAAGGAAAGGAAAGGAAAGGAAAAAGGGGGAGGGGATCCATCAAAACTGATTAAATATTTTCAAAGGAAATTTCACTTTCACCAGTTCAAAACATTTGATTCAGACTGCAAATATATGGGCACTAAAATGTTCATCAGTAGGAGACTGACTAAATGTTATATTGTTCAGGCAATCCACATAGCAGCAGCGTCTTGTGCAGCTATTTTTAAAAGTAAGGAATACAGTAGCTCTATTGTAACATTCCTCAAGAAAATCTTTTAAGAAGAGAAAGAGGTGAAATAAGGAAAAAAAACTTGAATAATCTGAAGGACAGTATGTATAGTGTCATCCCACTTGTGGGAATGATTTTAATGCATATGGCTTGTTTTCCCTGCATGCATGTCTATGCACCATGTGCGTGCCTGATACCCTCAGAGGCCGGAAAAGGGCATCAGATGGCATCAAATACCCTGGGACTGGAGTTACTGCCATGCGGTGTTGGGAGTGGAGCCCAGGTCCTCTGGCAGAGCAACCAGTACTCTCAGCCACTGAGCCGTCTTCCAGCCCCTAACTTCTATTTCTCACAGCTTTCCATTCCTTTTTAACCCATGGCATATGCCGGAGTTATAATTTAAAGATCGGGTATTTAAATGATTAAAACGAAAACAGGAACTAAAAAAGTATAGCTGTGTGTAGAGTGTATGAGACCCTGGTTTGTTTCCTCAACACCACAAGAAAATAAACAAAAGTCAAAGATACAAAATTCTTAAAAGCACAGTTTTATATCAGAAGAGATGGCTTCCTGTGGAAGTTAACTTGTGGGAAAATCCCATCAGGGCTAGGACAGTCAAATGTAGCTCCACAGCACTGGTAAGGGCAGGCTGTCATGACTCCGCCTGATTTCACATATGAAAATGCCAAGGCCCATGGCACTCCATTAGAATCGACAATGAGTCAATTAATATTTAAACCACCTGACACTTGATAGCACTTAGTGAGGCCTCGATGTGTAGGGCCGATAACACTCTTATCATCACCCCCCTTGGCAACTGTCCCAACCACACATCAGCCTTTCCACATTGCTCCGTCCTGATTGGTCTCAGTCAGGCCAGGGTCAATGACCAACCTAGGATGCCTACTGCAAAAAAAAACATGCAAAAAGCTCTTGCTGGATGAAATCTCTATGAGCCCTTGCCACGTCATGAAGAAGATGGAAGCCACCTCCTACAACAACTTCACATCCTACACAAGTGTGTATCCCCCAAAAAGATGCCCTAACCCACCTTCAACAACCCCCTTAATAAAAAACAGAAGCTTGAGACCCCACGCTTCTTGCCTTCCTTCTGCCCTTTTCTCTTCACAGATCCCCCGCCCCCAACACCCCTGTGCTCTTACGAAAGAAATGGCGGTAAAGGCCAGATTTCAAGCCTGCCCTTATGAAAAGGACACTACACAGCTAGGACGCGACTCTCTTCCCTGGACCTTTGTCACCCTCTTACCGTTCATCCCCAACCTCTGCCAGATGTGCCCTGCAGGCCTGTCCCACCAAGCCAGGCTTTGAGAACTCCTCCTACTGTCCACCGACGCCCCAGGGTCCCAGCTCCACACACAGGTGACAGTCTGGGAAGAGTTCCCATGGGGCATTAGCTCATGAGTGAGAGAGGAAGAGTGTGGAGCTTTCTAGCCCCTCATCAATGATTCATGAAGCTCAGACTGAAGGGCACCAGTCAGGCCTTTTCCTCCTACACAAGGCCAGCTGTCTTACCTCATCAGGGTGCGCTGAGCAACACAGCTGAACTTCTCAGCTGAGAAGGCCGCCCTCCGTAAATCTAGTTCTTGCTGGTTACACCACTTGCTATCCATATACAACCCCCAGCACACTGCCTTTCTCTTCTCAGCTGAGGTATATATGCAAAATGATTTTTTGGCAAATGGAGGCTGAAGTCTCGGACTTAGAATGTATGGCTGGTGCGTGTTCTATTCATCATCTACTCCACATTCTCAGTTCACAGGCAAAGCGTCTGGTCTGTGGCAGGCACAATAACTGTTGCATGGTGACAATAGTTACTGTGTAGTCAGTAGTTTACGGTTAATAAAGTCACCTTTAACAGGTATTTATTGAGCAGAATGGAAGGGAAGAGCGAGGATTAGTGGGCACAGAGAGTCTGAGTACTCGCTGGTCCTCACCACTGGTTAGGGGACTCTTCAGCACCCTTGCTGCCACTACCTGTAGAAGGGAGGTCCTCTCGGGCGGAACCTACTCCATTCATCCTTTCAGCTGGGTATCACGGTGATCTTTTCTCCTGTCTGAAGATGGAATGCTCGGTGGTTCTCAACCTTCCTGATGCTGCAACCCTTTAATACAGTTCTTCATGGTGACCCTCCAACCACAAAACTATGTTGGTTGCTTCACAACTGTAAATTGTGCTACTATTATGAATAGTAATGTAAATACCTGGTGTTTCTGATGGTCTTAGGTGACTCCAAGGGGCTGTGACCCAGAGGTTAAGAACTACAGCAGTAGGCTTTGAGCTAGCGGGAAAGTGGTATCGGTCCCAGGCCATCATATGCCTCCCAGCTTCCTCTTCTCTCAGAGTGGACACTGTGAGGAGCACACGTCTTACCTCCACAGGCAGTCTCAGAACATTCATTCACCCTGAGAGACAGACAGAGAGAGAGAGAGAGAGAGAGAGAGAGAGAGAGAGAGAGAGAGAGTGGAGAAGGAAGGCAGATTCACACGCACATAGTTGGTATGACAGAAGATATATTTTCATATGCTGAGGGTCATCACACTAGGTTCACATCTAAATTCCTAACTGTGGTCCTAGCTTATCACCCATGTGACGTATCTAGCTGAAGGTCTGGTCCAATCTCTAACAGAAGTGACTGATTTGAGGGTCAGGATCTCGGGAGAGACTCTGCAGCTGCAGGGCAGATCAAGGTGGCGTCTATCCAGACTTGCAGAGCAGAGCACTGCTCTTGGCCTCTGCTTACAGACTGTCCAGTGGATGTCTTCTAGGACTGTCTGGTTATCTTGAGTGAGTGACGTGAGGCGCAGCCTTGGGTGAAGTGAGGTTCCTGACTAAGCTATTTTTACAAGTCTAAAGGCATTTTTTTACCATGCTCATTACAGTGTGTTTGGGGGAGGGGAGGAGTAGGGGTGTGCATATATGTGCGTGTAAAAACCAGAGGTCAACATGGACTGCTTACCTTTTTCTTGAAACGGGCTCTTTAACTGAAACTGGAGCTCGAAGATTTGGCAAGAGCAGCTAGCCAGAAGCCTCTGCCATCATCCTGTCTCTGTCTCTCCAAAGCTACGATTTCGCTGTTAGCCGACACAGTCTTTTTATGTTAATACTGAGAATCCAGACTCGAGCCCCTATGCTTGTTCGGTAAGCCCTTTCCCGAGTGAGGTATCTCCGCAGCCCCACATATAAACTCAAGCTTTTTGAAAGAAGAATTATTTAAGGTTTTTCTTGTTTGTTGGTTGGGGTTGTTTGTTGTTTTGTTTTGTTTTTGTTTTTTGTTTTGTTTTGTTTTGTTTTTCGAGACAGGGGTTCTCTGTGGCTTTAGAGGCTGTCCTGAACTAGCTCTTGTAGACCAGGATCATCTCGAGCTCACAGACATCCACCTGCCTCTGCCTCCCAGTGCTGGGATTAAAGGCGTGCACCACCACTGCCTGGCTTATTTAAACTTTTAAAGAAACAGAAGAAAAATCAAAGCTTCATCCACCGAAACTCGCTCCCCACTCCCATCCCCCTACCCCCCCCCACCCCCGCCGCCAAAAAAAGGTGGCCCAACAGATGTGTGAGGAGCATCTGAGGCACAGTAAAGCCTGAGGGTCCTGCAGAGAAGAGCTGTGGGCTGGCCTACAGGAAACTTGGACTGAGAACTTATGGTGCCAGTCCCAAGCCCCCGCGGAGGGAAGTGATCGGCCCGGAGCGGGGCGCCAGCAGGGAGCGCTCGCAGCCGCTGCGGCTCCCCCCTTGCCCCGGGATCTCGCGGAACAAGTCCTGGAAGTCGGGGCAGGCGGTCCGTCCGGGGAGGCAGGACGCTCGCCCTTCACTCGGGCAGTTTCTGCCCTTTGAACTGTCACCTCCCGCGACAGAGCCCAACCCACCTCCCATCCCACGCCCGCCTGGACTATGCAGAGAGCGGGACTCCTGTTGAGTGGCTGGACTCAAGCGTGGAAGTCGGTGAGAATGGCCAGCTCCGGGATGACTCGCCAGAGCCCACTCGCGAATAAAGTGGCCCTGGTCACTGCCTCCACCGACGGGTGAGTACGGGAGCCAGAGTCGCCATCCAGAAACAAGTGTCCTTTAACTCCTGGACTCTTGTCCAGAGGCCTACCCGGGGGATATAAAGGAAACCCACGATGGACCTGAAATCGCTTCGAATCCCCCGACCTGGCCCTGCCACCACCCAGCCCCTTGTGTCACTGCTGCCTTCGGCATTGAGACAGCGGGACGCTGCCGGGGGTACCCGGGGTCCCCATGCTTCTAGGCTGCCCCAATCAACAGCTCCACCTAGAGTATGGGAAGACCAAAACCACCAGCCGAGGTTTCAAAGCTACTCTGCTCTTGCTGCCCCCACTGACTGCTCCCCCAGTGACCGCACTCCTTACCTCGATGAGCAGGGAGAGCCTGTGTCCAGATCTTTGCTTAGGTCTGTGTATTTTTGCCACCGTGCCCAGCCTGTCTTACCCACCACTCGTATCTACTGTTTTTTCAACCCCACAAGACTTGGGTAGATAAAAGTTCCTCGAAAACTTAGAATACAGATGTATATGGAAAGCTAACATCTGACCATTGTAAAATATGTAATTGATTTTTACATTTTTGAGCCATGCTTTTCCATGAAGGTCCCCAAATCTAACAAAGGATAGAATTTTGAGGTTGTAGTCTGGTAAGAGAGATGTGGGCTCCTTCAAGCAAGACCCTCAGGCCACTGCCACAGCAACTACTGGATATTCATTTCTCTCCCCTCTTTTCCAGCTGGGTATAAATTCAGTAACCACTCATGAGGCCTGTGGTAGATCATGTCAGGTCATGGGAACTGGGGTGAAAGATCACAATGAAACAATCTGACTTCTCCTTCTACCTGCACCATTAAGTCTTCCCTTCCTAATAGAAACATGTGGAGCTCAAACACAGGAGAATCCAAAGCCGGCAGTCTGAATCCAGAGCCCGTGTGTGCTCGCACCCTTCTCCCCGCGCGCGCGCGGAAGAAGCCTCGACAGTGTATCTCTTTTTGCACTTCTAGGATCGGCTTCGCCATCGCCCGACGTCTAGCTGAGGATGGGGCCCACGTAGTCGTCAGCAGCCGCAAGCAGGAGAACGTGGGCCGCGCAGTGGCCACGCTCCAGGGAGAGGGCCTGAGTGTGACTGGCATCGTGTGCCATGTGGGGAAGCCAGAGGACCGAGAAAGGCTGGTAACCACGGTGAGCGGGAAAGATGTGGGCGCTGGGCCAAGCCATGGCAGAAAGCAGACAATTTGCGCCTTCGTCCCTGACTAAGACAGCACTGGTGAGGTGCAACCCAGCACTGACTTCTGACGCATCCCAGCGCCCACACCCAAACTAGTCCACCAATAATTTTTAAAGATTTACTTGGGAGTGGTTTCGAGACAGGGTTTCTCTGTGGCTTTGAAGTCTGTCCTAGAACTGGCTCTGTAGACCAGGCTGGCCTCAAACTCACAGAGATCCGCCTGCCTGTGCCTCCCGAGTGCTGGGATTAAAGGCGTGCGCCACCAACGCCCAGCTTTTTATTATTTTGAATTATGAGTATGGTAGGGAGAGTGTTTGTGGGTACAGGTGCCTGTAGGGCCCAGAAGAGCGCCTTGAGTCCTCTAGAGCTGCTGGTTATGAGCCACCTGGTGCTGGGATTTCCCTCAGGTCCTTTGTGAGAACAGTACATCCTCTTAAACATCAAGCCATCTCCCCAGCCTCTCACCAACACATCTTTGTTGTGTGCCTTTTTCTGCTACATCTGCATCCTAAAGTCTAAGAACGACCAGATTCTCCCAGCAAGAGAGGTGCTTCAGCCTTGCAAGACCCTTAGACACCCCCCCCAAAATGGCTGGACCTGATTCTCCAGGTTGAGCTAATAAATTCTCTCCTGTTCTTTGGCTTATAGAGCTCCATGTTCCACACACCTACTGTGAGCTATTTCTTTTGTGCAAAGCCTTATGCAGGTTTTTTGGGGGGGGGAGCTTGAGGCAGGATCTGGTGCCAGAGCTAGAGTGGTGTGGAATTCACTTTGTAGCCTAGTCTAGCCATGAGCTTGCTTCCCCAGTGCTGGAAGCACAAATGTGAACCACCATGCCCAGGCATGGACTATTCTCCCTATAGTCACAGAGACTGGGTCACATAGCCGAGGACACTTCTCCCGGTCTCACAGCCAGGCCTACCCTTCTAGACATTCCCCCATTTATGTAGTGTCAGCCCTTAGATACCCAAAATCTAAGCCCATGTCAGGCATGACACTTGGCAGCAGACTCCAATTGTAGCAGAAAATACGAACCATGCTACAGAGAAGGTGCATCTTCCCCCAAGTCCCAAGTACAAACACAGAGGAAGCACAGCTGTGGGCACATGGGTGGCTGTTGGGGATAATTTGGGCAGTCTTCTGAAAGAGGAGAACCTTAAACAACATCTGGCTGAACTGTGAAGGCTAAAATAAGACGATCCCATTGTTATTACCTATCTGTACTTTATGTGTACGAGACTTTTTGCCTTCATGTATGTCTGTACACTATGTGTGTTCCATGCCCATGGAGTTCAGAAGATGGTGCTATATCCCTTGGAACTGGAGTTACAGACAGTTGTGAGCCACTGTGCAAATTCTGGGTACCTCTATAAGATCAACCAGTGCTCTTAACCACTGAACCATCTCTCCAGCCCCAAGATAATCCCATTTTAAGGAACTGTTGACAGATACGTAAATGTGTTTTGTAAAGGACCAACTATGAGTCCAAGAAAGTTATATTGCCTGGCATAGACCACTGGAAGAGCCTGAAATTGTAATCTTGATCCTGAGAAGCAGGGACCAATTAGTGACAGCTATTTAAAGTAAATATAGCATACGTGTGTGTACATGCACACAGACACACACAAAGACACACACACAAACACACACACTAGTGCCAGGGTCAAACCCAGAGCTATACACAATTTCATGTCAAAATCCTATGGGGTTGGGAGGCATGGGAGATGGTCCAGCCATTAAATCTCTTGTTCTCCAAGCAAGATGACTGAGGTTCAAGCTCCTAGGTCCACATAAATTCCAGATGTCTAGGGGCTCTCCTGTAATGGCAGCCTCAGAAGACAGATATGGGATCCCCAGAGCAGGCTCTAAGTTTGAATGGCAGAACTTGACTCAAAAGAATAAGGTGTAATAGCAAACACTTCAGCCTCAGGCCTCCACACACATGTACCCACATATGAACATGCAAATACACATAAAAAGAAGAAAGTCCTTATAAAGAAAATATCCTCTGGTGACGCACGCCTTTAATCCCAGCACTCGGAGGCAGAGGCAGGTGGATCTCTGTGAGTTTAAGGTCAGTCTGGTCTACAAAGTGAGTTCCAGGACAAGCTCCAAAACTACACAGAGAAACTCTGTCTTGGAAAAAAACAAATATATATAAAATCTTTCTCTCCCAGAAAGTCCACTTAGCAAATCCTGCAGCCCTGGCTCTGAAGTCAAGCTTGAGTTAGACCTCAAGGAATAAGTGGTAATAGGCAAATAGGATGAGGCTAGGACTCCAGTGACCCTGATAAATGAGCAAGCAGCCAGGACTGGAGGGAAGAGGGGAGCTCTGTCAGTCCTCAGTCACGAGCTACAACTGTTGAAAGTAGGCTGCATGGGTGAGACTGGTGACTTCCACAGCCTCCCAAGAGTGCCCATGACTGTGTAGCATATAGAACCCATGTGAAGCTTGGAGCAAGATGAAAATGATATTCAGAAGGATAATCTGGCAGTGGTGAGGATTGACACGGAAGATGCTAAGAAGGTCAGTGAGGAAGCCATTGGCTGTCATCCAGGTCTGGGGCAGTGGCAAAGGAACCAGTATGGACAAGAGACAATTAGAACAAAGATTTTTCTAACCACATGTCAAGAAGTGAGAAACAAGAGGATAGGCAAACCACATACACATGTGGTATACACGCATATGGGCATGCACACAAACATACATAAAAAATGAAACAATTGAGGAGTCGGTACAAGAGATGCCATGGTGGAGAGTGATGGAGCAGCTGTCAGCAGTCTGAGGTGCTCTCTGTCTGTGTGACAAAAGCTGCTCCCAAGGGTGGCATTGATTGCAACCTCCCACCATGCACCAGAGTTCAGCAGTGGTGTGGTGGGACAGGATGTGTGGATCTCCCACTTGATAATACTTTGTTTTAAATTAATAACAGTCAAAATAGACAGATCCAAAACACGTTGCAGCGATCATATAGTGTGGAGTAAACTCTGAGAGATATCAATGTGGTCTTTTCACATTCAACATTTTTGGGGTTTGGGGTTTTGAGACAGGGTCTTGTTCTATAGCTCAGACTGGCCTCAAGCCTGTGATCCTTCTGCCTCAGTTTCCCCAGAGCTGGGATCACAAGCGTAGACTAGCATATCTAATTTATGAACTCTTATGGTTCTGTGATGTTCAGTCAACACACAGCCCTCCCCCTGTCTTTGATGACAGGCTGAAAGGGAAGGGAGATGGAAGCCGGAAGAGGATCAACACCCTCTGGTGTGGCCCATTATCCTCCCCCCTTCCCAGACATTCACAGAGCATGACATACATCACTTTCCTTCCGTTCTGTTCCTGCCAGTCACACGCCATCAGGCTTTTTGCACAGAGCCAAAGCAGGTGACTGAGACTTTGGGCTACAACACCAACATTTTGAATGCATGAGCAAGTGTTGGCCGGTAGTGGCTTTAAAGGAGTCTGTGACTTTAAATTTTTTGTTAAATGAATGCATTGACAGCCTGGGTATTCCTTTAGCAGTGTAGAAACAACTGAGCTTAGCACCTAGTTAGCGAGAATAATTAGTTAAAAGCAGAAGCTAGCAGATGGTGTGCATGCCTAATAACACCCTTCCTCTGCCAAATTGGAGGCACAAAGTTGATTGAGGGCCCATTACATGCTATTTGCCCGAGGCTTCAAAATTGCCAGGTCTGGGCAAATACAAAGCCTGGTTTAAGGTGGCTCCTAACCACTGACAATGCTTGGCCGTCCTCCCAGGCCTCTGCCACCTGCTTACAATGAGGAGGTGCAATGACTCCTTTCTTGGCTTACAATGAGGAGGTGCATGACTCCTTTCTTGACTTTCTCGGTTTTAGCCTCGGTTTCTGCCTCGCCTCTTCTCTACCACTGGCCCAAAAAGAGAAAGAAAACGGCATCAAAGCTGAGTGTGAAACCGCTTCAAAACCAGAGGTCATCACCGGCACCGCTCTCCTGCACAGCTGGTTTCATAATGATCCCAACTGACTGCTGGAGGGCTCCAAGGAATCCACTCTCTGCTAGAGCTGGGATCTGACCTCAGTTCAGCCTCCACTTTGTACCCTGAGCTGGGATCCCTTTACCTCTCCCAAACACAAAGAAGTGGGCCACCCAGCTTAGATGTCCCTACAGAATGATAACTGAATTACAGCCTGGAAAAATCAACTTCCTTGGACCTAGGTGGCATCACTTCTACCATAAGGAAATTGGGCTAGAATGATCCTCCCAGGATCCCTCTTCATTCAGGAACATGTGGACAGGCTGGCTTTGAGGTTGTGGTAAAACACTCAAGGAAAATGGTCAATAGGTACTCGAGGAAATGGGGCTGGGACTCAAGAGGAAGTCTGGAAATAGATTTGAGATGAGAAGTGAAGACACAGAATGAAGGCGCTCACTGAGGAGACGTGTAAAAAAAAAGAACAAAGGGTCAGAGACGCCCTTACAAGAGCCAGATGGGGCTGGAGAGTGGCTCAGAGCTTAAGAGCACTGACTGCTCTTCCAGAGGTCCTGAGTTCAGTTCCTGGCAACCACATGGCAGCTCACAACCACCTTGAATGAGATCTGGTGCCCTCTGCTGGCACACAGGCAGAAGACCGTATACATGATAGATGAATGGATAGTTATCTAGACAGATAGATTAGATAGATAGATAGATAGATAGATAGATAGATAGATAGATAGATGATAAAATCTGTGGGGGGGAGAGACAGAGGGAGGCACAGATGTTAGTAGAGCTTAGAGTGGCTTTGGAAAGAACATGCTTCGAGAAAGACATTTGACAGCTGCTCCTGAGATAAAACTCCTGTCAACGTAGATGAGCACACCTCCCTCCCTTAGCTGTAGCCCTGACTCATACCTTCTTCCTCTCCAGGCCGTGAAGCTTCATCAAGGGATTGATATCCTGGTCTCCAATGCTGCTGTCAACCCTTTCTTTGGAAACCTACTGGATGTCACAGAGGAGGTGTGGGACAAGGTGAGAAAAGATTGAAGTTGCAGCAGGGGTGGGCCCTAGACACCAGTCAGCACAGCCTTGACCTGCCAGACTTGACCTGCCAGCCTGTGGAGTGCCTTCTCCCAGAGTGGGGATGCGAAGGGCCCACCAAGGGCCTTACCAAGCCATGGGATTGCGAAAGTGGGGGGGGGGGCGGGGGGCTTCTGGTGTCCTGCCCCTCCCTTCACCTCTGCCTTCCCTGGCTTTGTCTACTGTGTTGGCTCTGAGCTAGCCATCTCTGCCTCCATTCCCCACCGCTTCCCTAGCCTGCTTAACCACGCCTTTCTTCCTAATTCGTTTCCAACAGAAACATGGCAGCTAAGAGGCTACCAATGCTATGCTTAAACTTACCCACCCTCCTGTCCCCTTCTCAGCTGTGGGAAAGAGTGTGTTTTCATTAGTTGGGAATGTTATAACTGATGTTGACTGAAATGTTAATTTTGGTGAAATTACAAAAGTTGATGCACTATAGCATACAGCCTTTGGGTATGACCTGTTTCTTCTCTTTCTAACTGCACTGCTAAGAAAATTCTAGGTGCCTAAAAGGTGCTGGGATGTTGGCTTTCAGGTGAACATGTCACATCATATTCATAATGTAATTCACCCATCTGTATATACCCTTTAGCGATAACGCTGTAATCTCAGGTCACTATTCCCACATGATTTGGATATGTTAAATTCTTATGATCTCCCTGCGGATTTTTCAACATGGAAGTTTAAGGATAGCAAAAAAGAAAATTGTAGTTTATCAGTGTTCCAAACATGAAGACCAAAGTGCCAAATTTCTTCAATGAGCCAGTTTCTGGTTAAGATATGTTTTTAAAGAAGCCTCTTTTGGGAAAAGTCAAATAAAATCAGTTTGTAGATCAGTAATTTTTTCTCTCCCTTTTATTTGAAAGATTTTTTTTATTTGTTGTTGTTGTTTTGTTTTTTGTTTTTTGAGACAGGGTTTTTCTGTGTACCCCTGACTGTCCTGGAACTCTCTGTAAACCAGGCTGACCTAGAACTCACAGAGATCCATCTGCCTCTGCCTCCTGAGTGCTGGGATTAAAAGTGTGCAGCACCTCTATTAAACTTAATTTTTTTTATTTTTATGTGTATGTGTTTTGCCTGTATTTGTGTCTGTGCACCACATGCATGCAGTACTCACAGAGGCCAGAAGGGGGCATTGGCTAACCTGGACGTCAGACCTCCAGTGTGCCCATCATCCCAGTACCAGGGAAAACCATGGGGCAAGTATTCAGCTGAAACCATGAGCTCTAGGCTCAGTGACAAAACCTGTCTCAAAAAAACAATAAGTTGGAGTAGCAATTGAGGGAAATACCCTGCATTGACTTCTGACTTCCCCTCCACAAAAATATTAAATAAAGTTGAGCATGAAATCCCAGTAGTAAGGAGACTGAGGCAGGAGGATTGCCATGAGTTCAAGGCCAGCCTGGGCTATAGAATAAGTGCCAGGATAGCCTGGGCTTTAGAGTGAAAATATAAAACTGTGCAGGTGTGTGAAGAGGTTAAGTCAGGCAAAAGGTAAATAACTTGAATCTAGCTAAAGGGTGCTGGGTAGTCACTGTATTTCTATCACAAATCTTTAGTTAGATTAAAAATTTTCAGACTAAGAAGTTAGCCTGGGAACACAGAAGGTGAACAACCTGCCACTTAGAACAATATAAGGTCATACATTTACATTCCAAATCTGAGACTGGGAGTTGTGATTGTGGGGTATACCCAGGCTCCCCAGGGATGATCCCTCATTGTTCTGCTCTGATGAATACCCACCCAGACGTCCAGCCTGGAGGTCCTCTTGCTCCTTTAAGGGTGGAAGCCAAGGAGGCAACAGAAGTCCCCAGATGTCTCAGGCCAGGCTACATATTCCCTGAGAAGCCCAGCCCATTATAGTGTAGGTCCACGCAATGACCCAATTCCACGTTCCCCTACTTGGAAGAAACACTAATCCAGCTCAAAACCAAAGATCCCTGAGAGCTCAAACTGACTGTGGACCTGCTGGGTAGGAGAGATGCTTCATTCTGTCTCACCTGACCTGATGTGTCATCATCTATATAGACGAGCTGTGAGAGGCACCTACCCAACCCCGAACCCGAATTTTCCCTTTGTCAGGTCAGCTATCCCTGGGATCTCTATCAACTGCAACAGGCATTTTTAGGGAACCTGTGTAACTCCTCATCGCTGCGCCCTTGTGACAACCTTCTCACATCGTCTTCCTTTCTGTTGGCTTCAGGTTCTGAGCATTAATGTGACGGCTACAGCCATGTTGATAAAAGCAGTGGTACCAGAGATGGAAAGACGAGGGTAACCACTACCGAGAGGACGCTTGGGTGAGATGGGGCCCCTGATGGTCTTTATGCCAAAAAGGGCCAGCTCTCTTTCCTTTTCAGAGGTGGCTCGGTGGTGATCGTGAGTTCCATAGGAGGCTTCGTTCCATTTCCTGTAAGATCCTACCCTGTCCATCAGCCTATCCCATCCACCCCTCCAACTGCCCAAACAAGTATTTTAGCGTCATCCTCCCAAGTCCCCACCCACAAAATAGACACCTTGCTTCCATGAACCCTAGCCTACCTGAGACTCTAAGGTGACTTCTGACTGTGACCCTCCCTTACAGGAGGTGCTGAACCAGCTCATTCTCTTCTCTCCCTAGTTCCTAGGCCCTTACAACGTCAGTAAAACGGCTTTGCTGGGTCTCACTAAGAACTACGCCTCGGAGCTGGCCTCCAGGAACATTAGGGTGAACTGCTTGGCGCCTGGAATCATCAAGACCCGTTTCAGCAGTGTGGTGAGAAGGAAGAACACTGAACCCCAGGCCCCTTGAGAGGACAGAGAAGCCCCCCTACCTTCCTGTTCCTGCTGTCTGTGCTTTTGTGCGTCCCCTCTCTGTCCCCATTACTTCCCCAGACCAGACTCTCACGCATTCCTTTCCTACTGGTCTCTACCGAGTGAGGGATTCAGACTATACGCATATTATACCCTGTCCCCTAAAGTGGACGAGCATTGAGGAGACTAAGCAAGAATCCTGACAAGGATGACGCAGAGGCCCACAGAGGGGAGAGCAGGGAGTAAAGAAGCTATAAGGGATGAGGATCTAAATGGTCCCTCCCGGTTGCTGTGGGGACAGACAGTTCCCTCCCTTCTCTTCCCATGATTTCCTCTTCTTGCACATAAAACGATTCCTCTTCTTCTTGCAGTTATGGAAGGACGGATCAAAAGAGGACATGATGAAAGAACGCATGCAAATTAGAAGGTAAGCTGTCACGGGTGAGGATTTGTGGGAATAAAGACAGAAAGTTCAGCCCTGGCTCTCAGCCCCGCAGATAACACAGCATGCTCCTTCTAGACTTCACAAATTCATTAATCCAGCACTCCTGTGACTTGACCAAAGACCTGCTTTCATTGCAAAAAGCAAAGTACAGCTCTCGTTCGTTGTCTGCCTCCACCTTGAACCTGTGGAGACCAGAACCCAGAAGACAGTGATGTTTCCGATGCTCAGACAGATGATCCTAAAGCCCAAGTAAAGTGGCTGTGAAGCACTGAGCCAGACTCTGTCTGAGGGAGTCTCTGTCTTCCCCAGTGGGCTGGCTGAATTACTAAGGCGTTTTCGACAGCTCTCTACCGCTCTGCCACTGCCCCTCTCTCTGCCTTCTGGCTTTTCTAGCTTGACCCCTCAAGGACAAATGCTGGCAGTGCCTACCTCTTTACTAGGCCAGCACCTTATCCAGCCTCCCTCAAGTTCTCCCAAAGCATGCAGAAGTTGGGCATGAGTTTTAGACCTAGGTGGCAATTTCTTGATAAGTCAGGGCATTGCCATTCTGAAGACTCCAGTGAATGATCTAACCCGGTGCATCTGAGTCCTGGCTGCACATTTGAATCATCTGGGGAAGCCCTGGCAAGAGCAGGTGATGAGTGCACATTCCCAGGGCACACTCACAGAGGCAGGCAGATCTCTGTGAGCTCGAGGCCAGCCTGGTCTACAGAGAGAGTTCCAGGACAGCCTCCAAAGCCACAGAGAAACCCTGTCTTGAAGGGAAAAAAAACATACAGAATCACAATGCAAACAGCGTGATTTAACATAGTCTTATAAAATGAATCTGGGCTTAAAGGGATAAAAATAGATTCCTGAAAAGGATCTGCACATTGAACCTGTACCAGTGAAATAACCTGACCCTTCCATTTACTGTCACAAAGATTCTCTGACAGTGGAATAGTATATATACATGTTGAAGCTATGTATTTTGAAACATGATATAATTGTTCACCATTTTATCAGTTCCACTGTGCATTCTGGTATCTAAAAGCAGTGTTTCTATATTTAAACACAACATGGTTTTGCAGGAATCAGTATTTATGCTTATATAAATTATAACCACATAATATTAACCACCCTATTTAATAGGCAAAAAAAGCTATACACTGGTTCTGAAAACTCACTTCTTTCCAACTTTTTTTAAAATATGTATGGGTGGGTTGAGTTTTTTGTTTGTTTTGTTGGTTTTTTTTTTTTTTTGGTTGTTTGGTTGGTTGTTGGTTGGTTCGTTTGGTTTGGTCTTGTCAACACAGGGTTTCTCTGTGTAGCTCTGGCTGTCCTGGAATTTGCTCTGTAGACCAGGCTGGCCTCGATCTCACAGAGATCCCCCTGCCTCTGCCTCCCAAGTGCTGGGATTACAAGTGTGCTCCACCACGCTCAGCATGTAGGCATCACATCCCATGGAACTGGAGTTTGAAACCGTTGTGAGCCTCCTTGTGAGTGTGTTGGGTCACCTGGGCCCTTTGGAGGAGCAGCTGGTCAATGGTCTTAACCACTGAGCCATCTCACCAGCTCCCATCTGATAATTCTGTGGGCCAGTTGGGAGGGGCTAGCCCGGTTCACTGTTTGCTCTCTCCTTGTTTCCCAGGCTAGGCAAACCAGAGGACTGTGCCGGCATAGTGTCCTTCTTGTGCTCTGAGGATGCCAGTTACATCAGTGGCGAGACAGTAGTGGTCGGGGGGAGGAACCCCTTCTCGCCTCTGAGGCCCAAGAGATGGCCTGCCAGGGCAGAGGTTGACTCCAGCTGGTGTGGGGGGAGGGTGCAGTCCACCTGGCGGCTGTCGCCCTTCCTAGCCGCTGCCTAGTGTTTTGTTCATCCCACAAATTCAGCTCTACCCGGTGATAAATTCCTGCTTTCTCTGTGGTCCAAGTGTGGTCAGATGAGCATCCCGCTGTTGCTATGGCCTGGTGAGAAGACTGTAGCTACCTTGGATGACGACCAAGCCCCCCTACTCCCCCCCCCCCGTCTCTGGAGAATTTGAGGGAGATAGAAGGAGCCTGAAGTGGGAGGAACAGAAATGGAAATTAACGATTTCCAAATAAAACGAAGATGATCGCGTTGCTCTCTCTGAGTCTGTCAGTGTGTTCATTTCTCAACGTAAGGTGCTTAGAGTATCTGAGAAGTCTGGGCAGCGCTGGGTCTCTGGATTTTTCCCAAGCCTCCTCCCTTGATGCTCAAGGGTGGAGGTGTCTGCCGCGCCAGCTGTGGGGGGGAGGTGGCTCGGGAACTCCCAAGTGCTACTCTTAGCCTCACACCCCCAGGGACGGTGCCAAGGACGCCACCGGGATCCCCTAGACTAGACTAGCGAGCAGAAAAGAAGCAACTCCCTCCCTCACGTTCGAACAGGTCTTCTGGCAGCTTCGCCCTTGGATCCGAGTTCCCCCCAGGGTCAGCAAGGACGAGCTGGACGGGTCCTGAGCAGGAAGGGAGGGGAGAGGGCGGCGCCATACAAGGATGACCCGGGGAGGGGGTACCAAGGCACATAAACAAAGACAGAAGATTCTGCTCCGGTGGCCGAGGCGTGGGTGGCACGGCAAGTGGAGACGCTGCACCCCGCCCCTGAGCTAGCTCGGACACCGGGCGCCGCGCTCCGGGCTTCTCACGAGGTAGCCCGCGGGAGGGGTCGTCGCGAGCGCGCGCGGGGTCTCACGCGGCTCGGAGGCTCAGCGCGCATGCTCCATTGGCCAACTCTCCGGGAGGGGCGGGAGAGCCAGCGCTCAGTAGCCGGGGGGAGGAGCGCTCGCGCAGCCGCCCCTGACGGGAGCGGGCTCGGCCGCTACTGCAGCGCTCAGCGCCGGGCCCTGCCGGAGCCGGGACTAGCATGTGCGGCGCCTCTCGGGAGGCGGCGGCGGCGGCGGCTCCTCTGCAGCAGCAGAAGCAGCAGCAGCAGCAGCGGCGGCGGCCGCCATGGCCAAGGCCAGCGTGGAGCTCACCCGCGAGCTGCAAGGTACGAGGTTGCCTTCATCTCCGGACGCGCGGTCCGCGAGCATCCAGACCCAGTGCTTTCCTGCGGTACACCCCAGCCCGGCGTTCCCCGCCCCCTCACGCACCCTCGCTCCTAGGCAGTCCCTTCCTCTGCATCCCAGCCTCAGCTTTGCTTTCCGAGGAGCAGCCTTCCCTGCCCCACTCGCCTCACCCTGTCAGAGCCTTCCTGTCCCGGAGCCGCCCGTCCCGCTCTTTGGTGGCAGGTGCAGTTCCCAGGCGCTCTTGGGGGCTGCCTCTCAGCGTGCTTGACCCACCCCTCCGCAAGGCATCCAGTCTGCCTTCCCTCCCGAGAGTCCCAGCTTTCCCCCCACCCTCGCCGGGCGGGGCCAGGCGTTGGGAGCTGCCCCTGGTCCTGACTGCTGCTTCTCTCCACACCCTCCCTCCTCCCGGCCCCGCCCCGGAACTGGCCCTGGAGAGGCCCCTAGGAGCCTTGTAGAACCCTGGCCAGTGGGGCCAAGGAGGGGATCAGGGCAGAGGCCCTGGGCTGAGGCTCATCTCCCATAGTCCCCGTCCCAACCTGCCCCCTTCTCTGTACCCACATCTCCAGACCTCTCTCCTCTAACCCCCCCACCCCCACCCGCGCCCCGCAGCACTGCCACAACCCTGACCCCCAAAGGCAGGAGCACAGGCTAGCCCCTGCAGAAAGCAGGACGCTCAAGGATATTCAGAACCCTATTGCACCCTGGAGCTCTCTCACACCTACACATACACTTAGAAGCACAATCATGAGATGTATGTACACACATCTTAAAGAAACTGCACCTCCACCACTTACAGGCACACTACCCACGAGTGAACACGCGCACACACACTCACACGCGCGCACACACGCACACACTCACACGCTCACACATTTACACGCACACATACACTCACACACTCGCACGCACGCACACTCACACACACACTCACACGCACACACGCACACGGCGGGGTAACTGGGTGCTTCTGTCAGAAGATGCATATGGGCTCATTGAAGCATTAAGTCTTTCTCCTACCCCACCCTCCACACAGGAGCTGCCTGGCACTGTGCCCTGTCACATGCCAGCCAGCACCCACTCACACTTCTCTGTCCCCACTAACACCTCATTCAGATTCCCTGGCGTCATCAGAAGACACGCACGCAGCCATAGTAGAAAGCAGATCCTTATGCCCAGACCACCTAGGATACCGTCAGGGACATCCCCACCCCCACCCCCCACACACGCACACTGACTCACTGTGTATGTTGATGGTTGCTGTAGCGCATGGGTGGGAAAGATCCTTCACACCTTCAGAAGTGTAAGATACATGCTCCCACAGACAGTGCCACTCAGCAACTGTCCCCTAGTCAGAGCCAGAGTTTTCTCCTCACTGTCCTCCAGTGACGAAGTCGCCCAGCAAGGGAAAGTCTCTGCCCCACACCTCCTAACCAGTGTCTATTTACCTCTATTCCTCGCCTCTCGTCTTCTGCTTCCTCTCTGGAGGGTGGGGTGGGGGAAAGGGACAGAGAAGCTCTGAGCAGGTCCTGCCTGTCTGCAGACAGCATCCGGAGGTGCCTGAGCCAGGGGGCTGTGCTCCAGCAGCATCGTGTGAAACTGGAGACAAAGCCCAAGAAGTTTGAGGACCGAGTGCTGGTGAGAGCATTGGTCTCGGGGGGAAGGGAGGAGATTTGCAAGGGCAGGTAGCTGAGCTGTAGGGGGGTGGGCAAGAGAAACTGTTCCGGGTGGTGCTGAGGAGACAAAGCCTAGGGGAGAGGACAGAACCTGACGGGGTTGAGGTGGAGAAGGCAGGGCAGGAGAAACGCAGGAGGTGGGGTGTCTTGGGGCAGAGCTAAAGGGGGCAAAGGCGCCACGGCCCAAGGGGCTCCCCTAAGCTGTCAATGCCCTCCTTTGCAGGCCCTGACCTCCTGGCGCCTCCACCTTTTCCCCCTCAAAGTTCCTGCCAAGGTACGTTGGGCTAAGGAGTGGGGGAATGCCTGACATACGGGCCCTTCCAGGAGCTGACCTCTCACCCACCACCCACCCGACCTGTGCCCCACCAGGTGGAGAGCTCGTTCAATGTCCTGGAGATCCGTGCCTTCAACACGCTCAGTCAGAACCAGGTGAGCACCCAGGCTCAGGCCACTGCTGGGCCAACAAGAAGAAGGCATGGATGTCTGAGGCTCTCCCTCCCCCTCAGATCCTGGTGGAGACTGAGCGTGGCATGGTGAGCATGCGGCTGCCCTCAGCTGAGAGCGTGGACCAGGTGACACGGCATGTGAGCTCTGCCCTCTCCAAGGTCTGCCCTGGCCCTGGGTGAGTGGCAGATAAGGGGTCTCCCAAAGGATTAGACCGCAGGCAGATCTCTCCGTCATGTTGGTCTGGGCTCCCGGGATAAGGGTGCTATCTGTGCTCTTCCATGGAGAGTCCCACACTGTAATCCAGGGAGAACTGAGAGCCTCTTTCACCTCGCTTTGGAATGATTTGTTCATCTTGCAGATGTTTGATCCGGCGTGGAAATGCAGACACCCCAGATGGTCCCCGAGACACATCTCCCAACTCTGAAACTTCCACGTCCACCACTCACAGCGTGTGTGGTGAGCAGGCCAGACATGAGGACGTGGGTCTTGGATGCTCCTGCCCCATATCCAGAGCCCTCTGTGCACGGGTTCTGCCTGAGGAGCCTTTGCCTGTCCTGAGGGCCTCAGGCTCCTGGGCCTCAGGAGGTTTATGGCATGAAAGGAACCTGGGACACTAGCACATGCAATGACCTTGACCACACCTTGAAGCCCCAGCTATTTCCCATCCCCCTCACCACGTGGAGCCAGCCCGTACCCTGTCCCACAGGTGGCTTCTCCGAGACCTACGCTGCCCTGTGTGACTACAATGGACTACACTGCCGTGAGGAGGTGCAATGGGTGCGTTGCGCAGGGACTTGGCAGGAGGGGGGGGGGATGGGGGGGTCCAAAGGGGGGGGACAGAGGAGGCGCTGAAGCAGATGTGAGCCACCTCCACCTCTCCAAGGATGTGGACACCATCTACCATGCTGAAGATAACCGAGAGTTCAATCTTTTGGATTTCAGCCACTTGGAGAGCCGGTAAGTAGATGGGTAGAAACTTAACCCCTAAATTCCCAGTCTTGGCCTTGCCCTCCTCAGGGCCTGCCCACCCCTGCTTTACCCCTGAAGCTCCAACCATCTGCCCCCACTGCCATCCACCCATCTAGCTTTCTCCGGCCCAACCATCGCATTCTTAGTCTCTTCGTTCTTGCCCTCGTTCTTCTTTCTTGTCCTATCCGATATCCCCAGAGATTTGGCCCTAATGGTGGCAGCCCTGGCCTACAACCAGTGGTTCACCAAACTCTCCTGCAAAGACTTGAGACTGGTAAGAACATGGACGCGGGGAAGGGGGACAGAGTAGTGTTCTTCCTGGCTCCTGATTGCAGGGCTCCTCTGTCCTCAGGGCTCAGAAGTCCTAGAACAGGTGCTACACACCCTCAGCAAGTCGGGGAGCCTCGAAGAGCTGGTGCTGGACAATGCTGGGCTTAAGACGTGAGGCCAGGCTCCTCCGTGGGCAGTACTTTCTTCATGTAGTCTTAGAGGCCCAGAACAGCAGAGTATGAGACCCGGGGCTACTTCATCTAGATCCTCGCTTTGTAGAGGATGCTGATGCTTAGACAGGAACAAAGCAAGCCAAAGGTCAAACTGGGACTCATGTCTCAGCCCCTGATGTCCCAGTCCCTAACTTAACCCCAGAACACACTTCATGTCCCACCAACCTCCAAGCAGGGCGGGCTGCTCCAGAACCCAAACCTGGCTTCCTGAGGTATGGAATGCCCATAGAAATGGAAGACAGGATGTGTCCCACCTTCCACTTCCTGTGAACTCCTCTGTGAAAATCTCCCTGATCAGCCCCAAGTTACTCCTCTGCCATGGGGACCTCTAACATTATCGCCCCAGCCAGATAGGCAGATAGGAGATGGGAGGGCAGCCAGGGGCTGGAGACTTGGGGCTCAGCTCAGGACAAATCCTTCCTCCCCTTCCCTGAAGGGACTTTGTCCAGAAGCTGGCCGGGGTGTTTGGGGAGAACGGGAGCTGTGTGCTGCATGCCCTCACTCTGTCCCACA